TCTTTTGTCAAGTCATCTAGTTCTGTCACTCTTCACCCTGTCCATGTTTTGCCTGTCTTTGTCCATTAATAAACTGTATATGTTAAGCATCCTGTCTGCGCTTGGGTTCATCCGCAAGACCATAACAAGTAAATGATTTTGCTATAGTTCGGTCTGATGTTGGCAATGGCAATGTCCAGGTTAGATGCATGAAAATCACGTACCCTGTAGACCGGCCTCCCTTCAAGAAGTCAATGAGTTTTGAACACAGGAGAAGTGGCGCTGCTCCTCTTAAAAACGGCATTAAAGGTGCTAGACCCAAAAAAAGGCAGAAACATAATTGATCACATTCATCTCATTTTTGCTAGCGATCTGCTAGCTGCCTGCCCCATAAGCATGCCATCTAAAAAACCTTGTCTCTGTAGGCAGCCTAGGCTATGAGATCTGCACACAAAAACAATGGGTTCAGCAATCACTAAAACCTAAATAAACCATGTTAAAATTGACCGGAGTTCTCCTTTAAAGGGTTAGTTCACCCAAAAAATGAAAATTATGTCATTTATGACTCGCTGTATTAATGTCATCCCAAGCTCGTAAGACCTCCGTTCATCTTCAGAACACAGTTTAAGATATTTCAGATTTAGTCCGAGGGTTTTCTGTCCCTCCATTGAAAATGTATGCACGGTATACTGCCCTTGTCCAGAAAGGAAATAAAGACATCATCAAAGTAGTCCATGTGACATCAGCAGGTTAGGTAAAATATTTTGAATCATCGAAAACACATTTTGGTCCAAAAAGAACAAAAACTCCGACTTTATTCAGCATTGTATTGTCTTCCGGTTCTGTTGTCAAGCCGCGTTCACGAGTCTGCAGTGACGCTGGTGACGTAAGACGCTGCTGACGTGTATCTGGTGCGTCCGTGTATTCGGGTTCAAATAAATATGGCTGGGCAATATGTCTTCCTCTATCGAAATCCTTAGACATGTTTGCGAAGATTGTTTTGTTTACAGAGTGTGTCTCCCTCAGACTGTAAAACGAAGCTCTGGCGCACCAAATAACACGTCAGCAGCGTAATCATTTTTGGTGGTTCTCAACAATCAACAGTGAGCATATATTGCTTTTTTATTTATTTTACAAAGAGGCTTTTTTAAACTTGCTAGCTCCACTCTAAAAAATATATATTAATCATAAAATATTATTTAAAAAAAATAAGAAACAGACTGCCTTATAAACGCATCGAAAATAGTTTTCGATAATTCGAGGGACCACAAGACCCATATTAAGACCCATATTTAGATTACAGAGTACCATGTTTCTGTCTTGTTGCATATAACCTCACTGTATCTTGATTTCCGGATATAAATGTTTATGGAAAATCTGGTCTCATTCCTAAATCTGTGAATCTATGACCTTCTCCCAACCAGGTGATGACCCTAGATTTAAAACGAAACATTACAGAACATTACACAAGACGCCATTCCCATCAGCCTTTGAGGAGAAGAAAAATGTTTCAATTAAATCTCCAGTATCAGCACCAGCACTGATTACACACACACTTTCACATCCTCGAAAAGTTATTTGACATAAATTACGGGTGTCACATCATTTTCCAGCACATAGAATGTAATTTACGGCCGATCCCATTGACTGGGAGCTGAACCTCGAATAAAATCGCCAAACTGCCTGGGCAATAAGATGCACCTTTCTCTCCCATCAGCACACAATCAGTCCGCCGGCCACAGGCAGATTAACAATGCAAATACTGCTCATGATAGTAACGACACATTTATGCACAAATACGGAGCTGTGGTCGATATCTTTCAGAGCCAGGAAGGTTTGAAGCCATTGGTTTTATCAGCTCCCCTCTTTAAATAAAATGAACTGCCTAGACTAGAGGATGGAAGAGATGCATCTGTAATACTCAATAAATTAAAACATGTTTTAGTGGAGTTCACAGTATCACTGTATCTATTTGTCTTCAAGGTGAGATTAAAGGTCTTAATGACAGTTTTGTTTTTCAGTCAAATGCAAAACTTTTTGCATACACAACTTTTTGCGGACATTGCTTGAGTCTTAAAGAGAAGTTTTCTATAGGTTGTTTTCTACATCTATCAGTATTGTATTTATGAATCAAGTTCAGTGAATTTATGAATGTAAGCAGGACACTTGATGATGTATCATTGAGTATTCTTCCATTAATATTTTTTTGGAATTGGATTACATTTAGCCATTTGTGTCATTTTAAAATCAGAAAGTGCTTCAATTTACTTTCCCAAACGTTGAGACCTATTTGAAGAAAAATAAAGCCATGTTTGGCAACTCATAGGATGTTAAAGTGCATGATTAACTCATATTGTTGGAATGACAATATTACCGTAGGTTGCTGAAAACGTGCCACTTCATGCTTACCTTTGTAATTGCCAACAACAGCTGAAATTGTATCAAAGCTCTTTTCTTTTTTTTTCTCACTTGTTTCTCACTTTACTGTCTATGGTTTCTCATTATGTAGCCCCACCCCTTTTCAGCCCTGCGCTCGTTGTCTTTTGTCTTCCGGTCTGTAGTTTCACAGTGATCTTGCCTATTTATGAATAAACGGCTCGTTTTAAAATCTTCCCGGTCAACTGACATTTGTTAAGACATCTGTTTTAAACATTACAATCCTCATAATAACTTTCGTTAACTTTACACTAAGTATATCCACTTCAAAAGCTATTACTCCTGGACAGCAATGCCAAAGAGATATGCAGATCGACCGCAAAAACGGAAGTTCAAAGACAATTTTCTAAAGATGGCGGCGCCCCGTTTTTATAAGTAAAATAAGTAAAAGAATTTTCTAAAATAAAAATAAAATAAATGTTTCTAAATAAAAAGTTTCTAAAATATAATTTTGAAAAGTTTTAAAGGTTTTCTAAAAGTATTTAATAGTTCTAAAGAAAATCTTTAAAAGAATATACAGGTTTGATTTTTATTTTAAAAACTACTAAAAACTGAAATTCTAAAAAAATGTCAACTAACTTTCATTAGAGTATTAGTAGACTGTCTGCTTAAAATCTGCGAACTCAATTATGATTTTCCTGTTCAGTCATATTGACTATAAGTAACTTTGCAAGTACATGTCAACTCATGTTAACCTAACAGTCTACTAATACTATAATGAGAGTTAGTAGACAGGTGCAACTTACTTATAGTCAACATAATGTGTTAAAGGGACCTACAAAATAAAGTGAAACCGGATCTTTTAGGGCTGTTGGTCGCAAAAAAATGACATGAAATTGATCAGAATGGGTCTTAGTCTCAATGAACACTTGCACACGGCCCTCATAAAGCTGTCATCAAACACTTAACACTTTGAACACTTAACTGTGATCATTTAGTTAGGATTCGGACGCAGCACTTCACTGAATGAAAATCATAGTGAACCAGTGCCTCCTAGTGTCAGGACTACACATTTACTGTAATAAAAGTGTCAGACATTTCACCAGAGGCTTGGAGAGGTCTCACAGCGTAGCTCTGGCTTTTGAAAGCTTATAGTACTGACACAATTACCCCCAGCTAAACCTGCCATACGAGCACAGTATGGTAGCCATATGCATGTTTTCTATGCCTACGGCCCAGTTGCAGTAGCTGACCCACTTCACATCACGATAGTGCCATAGGGGTCTTTCAGAGATGAAGGTGTGTATGTTGGAAAAGGTGCATGGTGATGATTTATGAGGCTTTCTCTCCACAAGGCTTATTGGAAGCAGACTTGAAACACTTGCCCTGATATCTCCCTAAACACATACCTGATATGCTGCCACACTCTTTTCCACGAATCTACAATTGGATTAGGAACTTGTTGATTTCCCTAAAGCTCAGAGATCTAACACCATGTACAGATTCCTAGCTGACCATGTCTCTAGTCTATGCAAGGCTGGAGGAGGTGGGTGTCCCTTATGGCTCTTTTATATGTACTGCCCTCCGCTCTCTTTCTCTTCTCAGGCCATTGCGAAATTAATTCTAGAAAGGATTTATTAAAGGGATAGTTCAAATTTCTGTCATCACTTACTCACCCTCATATTGTTCCAAAACTGTATGACTTTCTTTCTTCAGCTGAACATAAAATAAGATATTTTAAAGAATGTTGGAAACCTGACAGTTCACAGCACACATTTACTTCCATAGTATATTTTTTCAAGTCAATCGCTATTTGTCGACTGTTCGAAGACCAGCATTCTTTTAAAAATCTTCTTTTGTGTACAACAGAAGAAACTCATACAGTTTTGGAACAACATGAGGTGAGTAAATTACATATTTATTCATTTATATTTTTGGGTGCACTACCTCTTTAAATTGTTCAAATTGACAGTAAACACTTTTACTCTAAAAGAATCCTGAAAAAAAAAATAACTGTATGATGGTCTTCCTAAAATTAAACAATACAACTGAAATGTTTCTTAAGCACCAAATCAGAATATTAGAATCATTTCTGAAGGATCATGTGACACACTGAAGACTGTGATGATCCTGAAAATACAGCTTTGATCACAGCAATATATTACATTTCAAAACAAAATAGAAAAATTATTTTAAATGGTAAAATTTCACCATAATACTGGATTTTTGACTGAATAATTGCAACCTTGGTGAGCATATGAGTCTTATGGAGTGAGTTATACACAGACTTATTGAAACGAAACCTTATTTACACATTTCAAAATTCACACACATAAGCAATAAATGAAAAATACACATTTCTAAAATGCCTTGCCCCATTACTATAAAAGCAATTTGTTTCTACAAACTGAGGCATGAGTCAAAATTTTTTACTATATGGTAAATCAACATTAGAAAACTGTAAAGCCACAGTAGTAATTCACGGTAAGCACTCTATTATCAGATTCTCAGGCGCTTCTTCTTGGAGTTCGTGAGCGTCCAAGCTTTAATCGAAAAGAAAAGAAAAAGAAAAAAACAGCAAACAAGTTCATACTAACAAATTGGTGTCACCAAACCTGATGAAATGCAATTTACAGTGAAAACAAAACACAACAAACCAAATTTATTTTATCTATTTAATAATCCTTGTCATTACTGTGAACAGCCAAGAATTGTGTGTCCTAAAACTCTTTGTATATAACAGCGAATATGCCATGTACATGAGAAGCTACTAAAATCTACTGTCTGCCATGGGTTCTGGTTCTGCGTTCCTGGAATAACAGTGAACAGTAGCCTAAAACGCTTCAAGGAAGGATGATGATGTACAGTACAAGAGGAGGGAAATAAAAGTACAGAAAATGCAAACCTCATTTCAATTTGGACTTTGTTCATAAATATAACACTGATGGCCTCTCTCTCATCTTGCACCCAACTAGAAGCACGCCACTGTGTGTGGAGATTCAATGCTGCTTATAACAAATCCTTAATGTGAACAGACATGATACGAGTTTAAAAAAAAACAAGTCTCTTAAAGTGCTGCTGATTAAATTGTCAAATCAGCAAAAAATACAAAAGTGTGCAAACACTGATGCTTCACAACAACCAAAGTATTCCAGCATAAGAAGGTGAAAAATGAAATTGATTTCAATAGGACAAGTTACATTTAGAAAAGGGCATGTATTGGTTTCTGTAGACTCATTTTGATGCGAGTCTCATTTTGGAAACACCCTAAAGCGAACGCAATGGTGACGTACACGAGAACATCAGTTGCGGGAGAATGTACACACATCCTAAATGCGATATGCGAGGTCAGTCGATCGTCTAAACTGTTAAAAGACACTATAGGTCAGGGAGATCTCAGAGAAAGGGGCGAGGGGTGATGGTCATGCAGAGGTGACAGGCACATATCCCATCAGATTTGACCGGATCATGCATTTGGCTAGCAGGTGAACCCACACTGAAATGATCATGTGTATGAAAGGCCCTGAAAAAAAAACATTCAGATTTAAGGTATTTAGGAATACACAGAAGAAAAAAAAAAGCATTTATAAATTATCAGTATGGCAAAATGGAAAACTGTATTGACGCTTAAAGGTGCAATACCTAAGATTTTTGCATTAAAATATCCCAAAATCACAAGGCCAGTGTTATATATTTAGTAAAGATGATAACTCACAATATTCCAAATGTTTCAAACAATGTTTAAATCGCGAGAAAATTGAGATTTTAACCAAGGAAACGGCACGTGTCAGCAGGGGTGAGCTGGGAGTCGCGAGTCAATCGCGTCATATCCGCTTACCTCGGTTTCCGCTCTTACTACGTGTAGTCCTGGACAAATGCGGTAGTTGTAGTTGTGCGTTAGCGCCTATCAAACGGCAGCTTGTTTCGCGCATTTGTTATGGAATGGAGCACATATATTCTTTTCATTTATTCTCGGAATGTGAACTGTTGGCTGTAAAGGGGGTCGCACACCGGACGAGAAGCGCCGCGTCACGTTTAGGACAACTCCAGTAACGTTATCGAACACCGGACGCGCACTTTCTCATCAGTGTATGGCCAGCAATATTGTTATGTTTAATGACAGAAAATGAAGATAATGTCTGTTCTATGTTATTGTACTGTACAATTAAATACAATCGTTGCTGAGTCTGCATTCTGAAAACTTTACCTCAGAGCATCCGTTCACAGAATGAATTGAGAATCTCACGTGAAAAATCTAATAATAATCAGTAATTGTCATTCAAGCAGCTGATTTCTGTAAATGACTGCAAAACTAAATGCATAGATATTGCAGCATATAGGGCAAAGTCAGGATCCATTAGCAACGGTTTGAGGCAAAAATAATTACAATTTTATATAAAACTATGTAAATGGCGCTCTGTGGCGCAGCAGGGTTTTGAACACGGTCCTGAAACGTTGCTGGGCGCCGCGGACAGACGCCGAATGGCGCCGCCGGTATGTGTACACTTATAGATAATAATGTGTTCGAATAATTATGTGGTGCAACGCGGCGCTGCAGCTTCTCGTCCGGTGTGCGACCCCCTTAACGTTAATTTTGTGAAACTGTAGCTGTGGTTGAATACTTACACGACATGAAAAGATGTGTCAAATGTACATTGCAGACATCCCAAGTCTCCCGGATCTCCCGCATATTGATAGCGTTTCCCTGATGCCCGCAAATTAGTTCAAATCTCCCGGGATATAATGTTAGAGCGAGACATACTGCGCGCATAACATACAGCGCGCTGCGCGTGCACTGTACAGAGGGAGAGACTTTGCGTTTGTGCCTCGCGAACGCGAAAGTTAGCCTTCCCTCCCACCCCCACAATCTTGTTATCGAAATATACCTCCCGGAAATGAATTCTTGCAGGTTGGGATAGCTGACATTAAATTGATTTTTTATTTTTATAAAGTTACCAAGGAGGGCCAACCACGTCAACTCCTTGCGAGAGACCTGCCCCTTCAAACCCTCTCCACCATAGCTTCGTCCAGTGACTCGTACAGTAACATCTGTGATAACTAATTTACTTTTAAACCTGACTTTTCTTGCACGGTTATTTCAGTTTAATGAAATACAAGCATGTCATTAAACGCAACGTTTATAGAAATCGAACTTTACCTCATCCATGACAACTAATTTTCGATTCCCGTCTGACTGATTTATCCACGGTGGAGTTGAAAACAACAGTTCCCATCATTCCGCGTTCCTCCACGGCGTCATCAAGCAAAGCCGTTGTTGTTGTTTTGAATGTAGCGCCCTCTAGCGGCATCTAGATCTTAGGTATTGCACCTTTAAAGGAGAAAAAAAAAAAAATACAACCTTATGATATCAGTTCCTAAAGGGTCAGAGCTACTTTACAACATATTTTAGTAGTGTAACGAAGGTTATTTGGTGTTTGGCACATGCTGTAACAAACAACACACAAAAAAAGGTTAGTATTACACACATAGTAACCACCATTTCGTGGTGACTTCCCTTTACTGGAGACATTAAACCGTTAATTATTATTTCCGCACACCAACCAGCGTTGGTGTTTTAATGATGGATCATGTGAACTCATTTCAAATTCAAACCTAAAAAAATCATGTCTCGAGAAGGCTTTAGAAGTCATATAAAGAGAATTTAAAACCGTGAAAATGAATCACTTGAACAAGCTACGTAGTAGAGGCACACACAGAAGGAATGGGGTTCAAAAAAGGCATCAAAAATACAGCATGCTTTGAAAAGTGCTGATGAATTATAACATTAGGATTATTAAATAATTGGGGGAAAAAAGTGGTTTAAAATGTACAAGAAAGCCGAGATGAAGGGTTAGAACACATCAGAAAACACCCTAATTCATAGTAACGTAGAAAACCTCAAGGTACGACCCACCCAGCGAAACCCCGAGCAGAAACAAACCCGCAAGGAGGATCTGGGTCCAATCGTTTGAAAACCTTCTCCCAACCAAAAAAAAAAAAAAAAAAAAAAAAAGTGAGTAAGAGAGAGCAGATACACACAAAACTCTTTCTGTGAACTTCTCCCGGTTGCTCTCAGGTTTTAGTGTCTCGTGTGGTGCGTATGCAGCGTTAACGTGAGTTTCGGGAGCAGGTTTGATCGCGTACCATTTACAGCCGCCTGTCATGGTGTTTTTAGAAAGTTGGAACACGGTTATAAGTTTATTGCGAGATGCGCTCAGCAGTCCGTAAAGAGGCGGGACATGCGGGGAGTCGTCGGGTCACCAGTAAAATGAGCGGGACAGGAAGTTGGCGGCCGTGCTTAGCCAGGTCACGCCATCTTGCACCGAGCCCAGTCGCGTCACGGCCTTGTGCTGCTCCTGAGACGGGCTCTCGTCCTCGGGCAGATAATCCGGCAAATTCATGTTCTGCTCGACCACCACATCCGAGTCCTCTTGGAATGGGATTACAATCTGGATGAGAGGGACAAGAGAATGATGGAAACAATGACCTATTTTGTTTTAATTGCTAAGCTAGCAAGCAATACAAAATGGAATTAAATAGGCAAGGAACAAAAAAACAAGCAAATAAATTAGGCAAAACAACAAAACAGACTGCTAACCATCTGAGTAAATGTTTTTCTTATATAACAAACTATTAGATTTAAGTAGCAAATACTTAAATACAAAATATTATACAAATATTAAAAAATTGTAAGTTACCATTCAATGACCATTCAAAAGATTTTCTTTATATACATTTATTCAGATTAAGAATAAATGATTAAGATTAGAATAATTAGAACTTGTTCTTGAGCACCATTTATATATATATATATATATATATCCTCATTATAAATACCTATAGAGTTGGGAGTCAATTCTTTGAGTCAACTATTACATTGCATTGGTTAAAACATTGATTTAACTACTTATTTTGAATCCCTCAAATATTCATTTTTATGAAATATGCATTTTTAAAGTATTAAAATGTTTAAATACAAAAAAATATTGGTGCACATACATATAAACAACATTAAAAGCTTGCCTTTCACAACAGCGGGTCTTTTGAATCAACGGCTGTTTGGTCAAAATTATTACCATTATTTAAAAATACAACTCAAATATCATCATAAGGTTAAAAGATTAAGATGTTTTATTTTTAGTTATATCACTCTAGCCCAAATTACTATGTAGCTTTCTCTTTGTGCCTGTTCAAACAGAAAAAGTTTCGATATTTCAATCAACTGCGCCACCTGCTGGTTGTTAAAGGAAGTGTGTGGTAAAGCAGTGTTCCAGACCGCAGGGCTGACAGCCACCGGAGGTCATGACTGTGCCGCTGCAGGTACACATCGCCCTTCCAATTCAACCAGAGAGGACACATCTTTCTTAATGACCACACACTGCATGCAAGAGTGTGTGTGTCTGTCTCCAGGGCCCTCTGACGCAAGGTTTCAGGGGAAGAGGGACATCCTGAGTGATCATGTCATGAGGGGAAAATGAGTAACTCTTCTGAAGGGGAGGAATAGCAGGGTTTACCCTATCAGATAGACAGCACCAGCTCCATATGACAAGCTGCATTACCCTCGGCCTTCTCACGGTTTTGAGGACAGACGCGGCCACGACAGCATCAGCCAACATCCTCAGGTAGAGGTAATCAACAAAACTTAACGAAGCTTGAGAAAGGGATAGCTCATCCTAACCTCAACACTGTTATATTTACTCTCTCGTGTCATTCGAAGCTCATTTGATTTTACATGGAATCCATAAGGAGATCAATTTTCAAGATTATTTTTTTCTTCAAGAAAAAGGAAAGTATACAATAAAGGTGACATGATGATACTCATGTGTTTGTTTGATTCACTCACCTCTGATCCGTCTTCCCCCCTCATTACCTGCTGTGCCTTCATGACTTTGGTTGAAGCTATAGCAGTTCCCAAGGCCTGGAAAATGAAAATAATTGCATGAGAATGCTGAAATGGGATTTCTAGAAGCATCCATAAAGAGTGATTCGTTTCTTCAGAACTGTTGGTTTCAGTGAACTGGTTCAATTGATTTATTATTGTTTTTTACATCACCAGTCAAATCTTTTCACAGACGTCCCAACCTGGCATTTAAAATGTACTATATTTTTTAAAAGTCACTTATGCTCACCAGGGCTGCATTTATTTGTTATGTGACATGCAGTAAAAAGTCATGTTGTGAAATGTTATAATATAAAATAACTTTTCCATTTAAATATATTTTAAAATATAATTTATTCCTGTGATGGCATCATTACTGCAGTCTTCAGTGTCACATGATCCTTCAGAAATCATTCTAATATGCCAATTTGGTGCTCAAGAAGCATTTCTTCTTACCATCAATTATTAAAATGGTTGTGCAGCTTAATATTTCGTAAAAAAAAAAAAAAAAAAAAACAGGATTCTTTGATGAATAATAGTTTAAATGAACTAAATTATTTTTTTGTAAAATATAAAAGTTGTTACTGTCACTTTTGATCAATTTAATGCATCCTTGCTAAATAAAAGGAAATATAAATAAAAAGATTGTGTCCCAAAATTGAACAGTAGCATACATGAAGTTAAATTTTAATGTTTTTTTTACTTCATTAAAAATACAAGACATCTAACCAACTTTTTATTGGAATAAAAACAAACAATATACTCAATCAAGGGAACACTAGATTCATGTTTAGCCTGTAAACGGTACTATTGTTTCCGCTAGATTGTGATCTCACCTCGGCCTTCAGGTCCGAACGGATCCTCACCACGCATCTCTTCACAGCCATTTGGAAGGTAAAGCTGATGACTCCTTTGATCTTTAGCAGTGCCTCTTCACACAGACTCCTCCGAGTCTGACATAAACAGATCAATTGTGTCAAATTGTGCAAATATCTGAAAATTAAACGGGTTACAGCACACGTTGTCTGACTGCAGTTACCGAATCATCAAGCCCGTCGATCTGAAGCACCACCGTTTTGGCCCGTTTGTTCGTGCCGCCCAGGAAAAACTGAGCTTTCCTTCGGCACGAGGCGGACGCTCCCGCCTGTTCGGCCTCCGCACTGCTGGAGTTCTGCAGGATCTCGTAGATCTCAGAGGCTAACAGCTTCGTCTCGCCTGGCGACGTGCTCCTAGACAAACACATGGACACTTTCGATGAACAACGAAATAATCGAGCAAATATGCTCGTCTAGTCTTTTTAAAAGAGCATGTATTGTACAATTCAGTGCTGATATTTGAAAAGGTCACCACTCCAGCAGACAAGGGGACACGACATAGATCTGTGCGGGGGGTAATCTGCACACATGAGGGCTTCAGAAAAGAGCTTGAACAAACTAACCTTTAGTACTGAAACAACACTGAGATTCATTCCGTATGGTTTAATATCAACCAAGTATAATAGCACATTGAATGTAAAGTACACTTAAAAATGAAGAGATTGATTGCCCCTTGCTTAATATACTGTCAAAAAGATAATGCACACGGAGGTTACCCCTTGGTACATCTTACCCCCCTCTGCCCTATGGATTGGGGGACAAAAAGGCCTTAAATACAGAACAAGAATGAAAACAAATGGAAAGTTATTGACATTTTTTAATGAGCCGGTCTGTTTCTTGGTGGCTAACTATATAGTCAAGTGACCTGTTCATTTAATGAGGTTAATAAAAACAGCAGTTCATTGACATCATTTTAGATTAGGCATGACATCAGAATCTTGATTTGCCCTACAGGCGCTAATGGGGGAGATGCAACTCTGCCATCATTCATGCAGAGTTACAGGAATGGGCATCTGCTCACTGGCATATCTGAGCTGCCAGACCTTCCCATGTACACCTGAGGGAATGCTGACGACATCTATATCCTCCGTCTAAAGCAAGTGGTACATCAACTTCTACAGCCAATAACAGCACATTCACATGTAAGTCTTGGAAATTACAAAAAAAAAGTCAGAAAACACTGGATGTTCCTCATTGAAACAAATACAAGCATTAGCATAGCTTAGTTCTGCGCTCTGTCGTCTCATCAGGGGTGATGAAGGATTTCTTCACTTCCTCTAGCCATAAGATTTCACAGACTGGGGCAATACACAACCTCTACCCAAAGTCGTTGTGCCGGAAATAGTGACGGGCAGCTTGTGGAACTGCAGGGCACTCCTTGATGGCATCTGTGCTAACTGAAGTGACTGGTGAATGGAAGGGGGCGGGCAGGGAGTCACCCTGAGAGAAGGATAGGCAGCTCTCTGCCAATCATCGGCACTTCTGTCTGTGAGGCTCCATGTAAACAGAAGACACTCGCCGTCTAAAAGCCTGCAGACTTTCGCACTCGAAAAAAGCCCGAACTGCAGTGTATATATAATTATACTTGGATATTGCGCCTCTATAGTTAGCCTTGGGGTGTAAAAAACATGCAGTTGTATGAATATTTAAAGCATCAGCTGGCATCTACGTTAGTATTGTTTGACGTGAGGTAAAAGGAGTGAAAGAAACCCTGTTTTCTCAAGCATAACCTAATAAACGCTCAACAATACAGATTTTTTTTCCTGTACTAGATCAGATTTGCCTTGCCACTTTTTATAGTTTTCACTGGCCCTGTCACATCACAAAAAATATATATATTGTGTGTACATATGCGACACTGAAGACTGGAGTATTGATGCTGAAAATACAGCTTTGACATCACAGGAATAAATTACATTTTAAAATGTATTAAAATAAATAAATAAATAAATCTAAATATAACTGTTTTTACTGCATTTTTTGATCAAATTAGCATAAGAGACTTTAAAAAAATTGTACTTGTAATAATAATAATAATAATATAAAAGTAGCAAATACTATTTTTTATAGACAAAAAGGTAAAACAAACAATTTGAAAAAAAAATGTGTGAAAGTGACAGCTATAATGTGAATAAATGACAGGCACAGCTATAAATTCATAAATGTATTTGTAAGACAATTGTGGTTTCCTTATTCTAAAAAGTAAAAAAAAAAAACATCAGTTTGGAATGGATACACTTTTTTGTGCATAATTGATAAGTGTAAGAAGTACAGAAAATACAACACTAGCCTGGATAGAGCGAATCACAACGAGGTCAACAGGCCCTAAACTCTCTCACACTAGCCATCCTTACTGTTGAACCCTGAGATATGATGTCATTTCACTTTCTTGCCAGGTAAATGTATAATAACTGATCATTGAAAAACCCATATTGATCAACCAATATTCTGAATATGGGCACTGAACATGAACTCCTTAATGTGGTATGATTTTCTCTTTTCTCTCTTAGACTGACCTCTGCTGGACATCAACCGATGGCGAGCAAAACAAATGCAAATCAGGTTGCTTGATAGTTCGCATTACGCTTAAACAGCAAGATCGCATCATCGCTCCCATTTAGTTTCAAAACAGACAAATCCGCTTATGACAGTACGACCTTTCTCGTGCTCTTAAAATCTGCCCGCCTCACGCATTCACTTCAACTAAAGCTGCAGGATGAGGTTTTCTGCGGAAAGTGCAAAGCGAGCTCATGTTGCCTTCATGTTTTGTGGCAGCATGATGGGAGCGACTTACTTCTGCATGACGTTCTGCAGGCTCAGCATCATTCCCAGCTCGCCCTTCATCTTCTCCCTGTTGGCGTGGCATTCTGCCAGGTAGCGCACCGCCTGGAAGGACACAGAGCCATTAAGGGTCACGCAGGGCCATTACAGAGACATACCGCCAGGCACAGCTGTGAGAACAAATCCATTAACACAACACCAGGACTACTTGGGTCAGAATCACTGTGTGGGGTACAAAATTCTGAGGGGACATGAAAAATCTGGGGTTCAAACCTGGAAATAAAGTTTTATGATTTCAAAAATGCAATGAGGACAATATTTCTAGTTCAATTATAAAATAACCATGTCCACTTGTCAACAAAGGTTTTTTTCTTGCTTCCACTGAAAAACACGATGCTCTGTAACATTCTAAAATCGTGCTGGAGAGCATGGATCATGATCCAGATGTTCTTGTGTCTGTCTTACACAAGAAGGGAGGAAACACTTTCTGTAGAAGTTTGGCTAAGCTTTGTGACAATATTGGACAGCAGGTGGCAGTCTTGTGAAGTGTCTTTGGACAGCTGGGAGGGCATGGAGTGATCTGATTGGTTGATATGAATGCCTTTATCAAACAACTGATGTCAGACTACTTGAGTTTAATAATAATTACGTTATTATATTAATTATAATAATAGCAGTAGTGTTTTAATATATAATAATAAAAAAAACACTATATTAGGTACCAATTATTAATATTTGTACAAGTTTATTTGAGTTTACTAATAGTAAATTATTATTCTACTAATACTATTATTATTATAAACAATAATTAGACACAATATTAGTTACAGATTGTTATTATTGATATAAATATCATTATTGACTCAAATAATGTTGCTATTTTGTATTATTATTATTAACAATAAGCCATTATATCACTGAAATATCATTATTATTGTTGTGTATACAATCATTTTTTTTTTATATTATCATTGGCATCAGGGCTAGCTGGGTGTGCGTTGAGTGATCTGATTGGCTGATATGAATAATACATTGATATCAATAACTGGGACATTTAAAAATGACTGGAAGTATAAGAGAGTTCTAAAATCATAATTGCAACCTATTGTGCTTTATATTGGGATGTCTGAATGTGAAACTGAATCTAGCAGAGACAGCACACTATAATACACCATTCTATAGATTTCCAAGAAATGTGGAAACATTGCTACCAGAAAACATTGCTGTGTATTAGAGAATATCAACATCTACCAAAAGTATTTGAAATATTCATAATTATTATAGCATAACGTTGGAATTACATTTGAGTTCCTAACCTAAACTAACATGGCAGAAAGCATCTTACAGGTTGCTATGGCAAGAATGCCTGCACAATTCTTGAGTGCAAACTGGATCTTACCAAGAGCGCAGAGTAGACCACTTGTGGGTTGGGGTGGTCGAGGAAGAGAATGAGGCCTGGCAAACAGCCTTGATCTTCAACAATAACTCGCCTGTTGAGGGGGTCAGCAGCTAAGTCCCTCAGCTGATTCACCACAGCCAAGGCATCCGGCTCCCCACTCATGGTGCTCCCACACCAAGGGCCATGCACAGCAAATACACTGATCTTAGCTGAGGGGGGGGATCAAAAACACAATCATTTCTGATACCATGGAACTCTTTGTTAATTACAGAAAGCACACAAAGATTTATGATAACATAAAAGCTGATTTAAATTGAATTACATAATTTTCACTGTGCTTATTATTTTTTAAAAATACGATCTTTTTAATATTTATTTAAACAAAAAAAATAAAATAAAATAGGAACCGGAGAAATACTGCCTGACGTCACTCAGTCAACAAGCATTATTGCCTCGCGACACCTTAGCATTGATTTACTGATTATCTTTATACACGTGGCTTATTTATGGCTTTCATTGTGCACTGAATGACCAATGATATTCAAATAGCATAACTAGGCCTTTAACGGGGCCTGTGCTAACCGGCTAACATTGACACGGCATCACAAGACAATGACACTCTTGAATTCTCACATGGGACATAAAACGGCATGTAAAAGCAAACATATGGCGCTGATTGCTCATTCATATTTAGTCTACAGACATCAATACAGGTGGATCTGAATGTCTTTCTATGAACAAAAACAATGACAGCAAGCAAGACAGAGAAAGGCAGAATCTACTTCTATCGTGTCATATATAAATCATCACAGATATGTAGCCAAATAATAATGATACATGTACAATCAGTGTATTAGTTTCTGATGTTCGTGGTCTCTATCTTGTTAACCTTGTGTGTGTGTTGTGGCACTGTTGTCCACGCATAACCTTACAGCAAACACGCCCAGGACGGCTCTTCGCTTCAGACGATCCTGCCAGTCAAAGAAGGATCCCAACAAATGAACCGCTGATGGACACGAAACTGGATGTAGCTCGTGTAATAACGAAGAGAGTGAATATGGTTAAAAGTCTTTATGACAGCTGTTTTGGTCAGGTAAATTTGGCCATTATCTGCGGAGCTTTAACACCCTGTACAACACTTCCTGGAATTAGACAGACCGATTGGAGGGTATGGACTATGACATCATGCGTTTTTGACCAATGAGGGAGCGTTTTACTAAGATACTGTGCTTCACATACAATACAAGTGAGCATTACAGATAAACAAATCAGAACTAAAGCTTCCTAAATTATTTGTTTAGCTTAATGAATGTTTGTTACTAAAATATTAGGAATAAAATTAATATATATTACAGTACATGACATCATTTGGTTCTGCAGTGAGCACCGTTTGGAAGCCGGTAGAAAATGTCCAGTTTCTTATATGAAATGACGCTGACATCTAAACAAAACATTCTTCCAAGTACAAGAATTTTATATTCAGACATAAAACAACGGACTAGGGTAGCAACAAATGCATAAAATAAATGTTTGATGCTATTTTAAACAACTAAATGTTTTTAAAGACTCTCAAAACAAACTTTTCTTTAAACAAACTCAAAATAAAGTCAAACTCCGTTACACACCTATGCACATAGACATTATGCCTATGCATACCTCGCTTATGTGAGTCAGTCATCACTATGTCATGATTGGACAGTTTAATTGCCTATGCAACATTCTAAGCCAGTGGTTGGCTTAATACTTCTAGAGCCCACCCATTGCTGGAATATTCTCAATACCTATTGGCTAATATAAAGACCCGCCCCTCTAACTAAGCGAGTGCTGCTCCCACAATGTGGAAAAACTATGGTAAAAACATTGGTTACAGGTTACCACTGGATTCGGTCTGGACAGCATTAGCATAGCATAGCATAGCACAGTCAGAAAAGGTCCTCTAGAAAGATCTGTTACACTACAGTCTGGATGGTAAGACATCGATATTTCCCTGTAATGTCCTATTAGGAGTCCCGACATTTTTTTGTAAACAACTAAGAGCGGGTTTAATACAACAATGAAACAATACGGCGTGGGTTTTAGCGCATTTAATGAACTGTAATAAAGTTTTGTAGATCGTTCAATTGCCCTCCGTCTGTGTTGTCTGTTAGTGACAAATAGTCTCGTGCAGGAAACAACAACTAGAAAATTGTAGTATTTTTTTCCTGGCAAAATAATATCAAGGTGAATAATGGCTGTTTTCATGAGTGGAAACCACTGTTACTGTATTAAATATGAGATGATTTAAAATAAAAATGTATGAGTGTAAAGCATTGTTTTTGTTTAGGTTTTGATCTAATGATGACCTAGCACAGATCCTTGATGATGAGATAGCTCTGTGACTATATCAGAAGATGATCGGAAATCCTAGACTGAAGGAAATGGATCTGGTAAGTGCATGGAATCATATGCACAGTTTTGGCTAATCTTTCATCCTTATAGATTAATGATTAGCTTTTTGTCTCTCTTAGGCTTTATCGTCATCATCATCAAAGCCTTATGGGTCATCCCGGAGTATTGTCAGGAGAATTGCCACAAATCTTCCATTGGCGCCTTGTACTCGTGTCCATTTTCAGGTAACTTAAAGCGCCAGTTTTTGTTAATTCAAATGTCAATCACAAGTAAAGGAATATCTCAAATCATTGTAATGATTTCAGCAGGTGATTGAAACGATGTCTACAGGCTTTTAGTGTATTTTGTGCACATATTGTTTTTGGGATCCCTGTTATCTTATTTTTCAAATATTTACCGTTTCTATTTTATTTTAGTCCATTATTTTCTTTGTGATTTTCCATCTTTATTTTAGTTTTGCATCTCAAAATCTTTAACACCCTCCATCTTTAGCCTTCTTAAAGTCTTCAGCTTTATTTTTCAGTTCTCCCGTTCCATCAAATTTCCTTCCTTTTCTCTGTTTCATTCTATTATTGAAGAATCACAGGCACTGGCAGTTCACAATATCTAATCTATCCTTTTCCCACTGCATAAACTTTAAATGTACAAGTATGATGTCATTAAACCCACCTTGAAACTCGTATTACTGTCTCTGTTTCTCTCTTCTCTACCCTTCCTTCCAGCTGTCCTGTATGTCAGGAATGCAACATGTCTCCTTTAGGTCAGTTCTCTGGTTCATTTTTGAAAAAAATAGGCCTAGGGCTCTTATAAAAAGTGCTTTTTTTTAAATAAATTGCTTGGCACTTATAACATCCTCTTCATAAAGAATTGAATGACACTGTAATGTTCTAATTGCTCATACAGCACTTTGTTTATTGCTAGGTGATTTTTAAACCGGTTCCCCTTGTGCTATTTACATTGCCGTGCTGTAAAAACATTTGCCGCTTGCTCTGCTGTTGTGTTTCTGATATGGTTTGAGTGCTGGAGTGTCTGTGGCAGGTGTTGTAATTATTAACTGTCCTTTAAACTGTCTTTGGGCCGCGCAGCTTCATCCTTTCACTTCAGGGGTGGGTTTCCTCAACCATTCAAATGGGCCAAATGGCCTTGTGGCCACGCTCGCTGACGTGGGCTGGATCGAAAGAGAAGAGAGCGATAGCCCTGGCAGAAATAGGTGAAAAACATTTCTAATTGAATTAGGAAACATATAAATGTTGATGTGTGGTGTTTAACATGTATTTATCTGTATGTCCTGCAGTTTTAAGGCAGATTCTGGGCTGTTTTTTCGCACCCAGCACCGCAGGCCCCTGAGACGCCAGCGGTCATTACCCAGCTTGCACCAGGCTGAACCTGCGCCACAGAGCCAGACGGTCATCAATGATGAAGCCATTCAGAAGATCAGCGTTCTTGAGACTGAGCTGGCCAAACTCAGAGCACAGATCGCACTGATAGTTCAGGCACAGGAGCAAAGCGCTCAATCCACAGGTACACAGGTTTTTGCGTATTTGCTTGGTTAGTGTGTTTCTGACCTCAAATCTATTTAAGTATATAGATGTAAAATTCAGCAAAGTAAATACTTTGGTACTAATCGTTTTTACTAGAGCCCGACCGATAAAGGATTTTGAAGGCCGATACCGATACAAATATTTGTTGGTTTTAAAATCCGATATTCCGATATATCGGCTGATATTTTTTTTTAATTATTATTATTTCAGAAACGCGCAACAAAACATTAACAGATTTCCCTAACATTAGTTATTTGTAGTTATTTATGAGGTTTAACTAAAATGATATGATAATGCATTTTAAAAAGAATCAGAGATTTTAAACAGAACAGGCTGAAGATAGTGGCATTAGCTAGCTTTGTGGTTAGCTAGTCTATGAGCCATAATTAAGCAATGGATAACGTCATACTGCAATTGTAAAACATACATTTTCAATATAACAGGCCAATGAGAGATGATACGTCTCATTGCTATAACTGTCACGTGCTTTTAAAGAAATATTTCAGTCACATTTTCAAAAGTTAAAAGGACAGTCAGTCTTCTACACTGTAACAACGTAACGTAACTATTACTAGCTAATTCTGCTTCACTCTCGGCTTATTCAACAGCAGCAAAACTGGACATGATAGTCACAAATTTTGTCATGCTTATTTGAGTTAAGAGAACAGATGGGGATGTTCTTTTTATTGTTATTCAAGCAATGTATGTCTTGTGACCAACTCAACGAGTGTTGCCAACAGGGACTGTGTAGAGTGCCCTCTGGTGGACAAACTATACAACTCCAACACTCATGACATGGTCCAAGTGTGTTTCGTCCATTTTTATTTTATGTTTGAAATATTCATTTATCGGCCATTATAACTGCCGATACCGATAGTTTGGAAAATGCCTAATATCGGCCTGCCGATAAATCGGTCTGGCTCTAGTTTTTACTAATTTAAAGTCGCAATATTTGCATAATTTCAGCTCCAGCGCCAGGTGGTCCCCCAGTACCCCAAGCTCTACCAATGGCCCCCCCTCCTCCACCACCACCTCCTCCTCCTCCATGTCCTGCCCCTGGGATGCAGAGAAGCTATTCCGCCATTGACCTCATCCGAGAGCGCCGAGGGAAAAAAGCGGGGCAGGACACTGTACTGGACTCAGATCCCAAAAAGCCAGAGCTTCCCAGCATGCTAGATGTGCTGAAAGATATGGGGAAAGTGAAGCTGCGCTCAGTTAAGAGGTGAGTATTACTGTTTGTTTTGGACCGTGATTCTCATATACAGCTTACCAATAGGTTAATTTGTCCTTTCGTTCACAGTCATCAAGAGGACGGCCACACAAAACCCAAACCCGTTGAGCCCACAGATGCTGCAGCGTTAATCGCAGAGGCCCTGAAACGCAAGTTCGCTCACCGCTATCGTAGCGACAGCGAATGTGACGGCAGCTTTAACTTGCCGGCCCCTGAGCATAAGACCCACGTAGAAACTCCGCTGGTTAGAGAAATTTCTTGACATCTTTCTGACGTACGGTGTCTTAATGCTGTAATGAATTTGTGCTGTTTCTTTTGCAGTTTGGACAGCACATGTTGAAATCAACTGGAAAGAAGAAACTGTTCTAGGATGAGGCCGAGTCACGTTTCTTCGCTGTGGGTTAATGGAGTTAACATGATGACTCTTAATTTAGTTAACTTTTCTTGTTGGTTCGTAAATTTTGTTCGTGTTCACTTTTAAGAGAGCATGCACATGCTAAAACACTAACGCAGTCAATCTGGTTTCCCTATTTTGTAATTTTGCACTTTGAAAAGTTCATCTCTATCAGTACGTGTTGTGCCGGTCAGTTACATCGTTAATGCCAGTTACATGGAAACATGTCTTTTTGTTTGTTTTTATCTGTGGGTTTAGTTGGATTTTAACAGTTCAACAGTGCAAGAATTCGAATTGTTTGAAGGGATAATGTTAAACGAAAGCACCAAAGTGTAAGATGATTTGTTTTTGTTTTAACAAGTAGTTTTATGTGTATTTTTTAACATCTGCACTTTCTACTTCAAAGGTACAATTCATAATTGCTGGAAAATCACTAATTTCTGATATTAGCTTTTTTTCTGTCATGCTGCTACCACTATAGCAATTATGAAGCACTTTTGTGATCATAAATGAGGCTTAGATGGTGCCGTCAGTAGTATTTGCTCTCTAATGTTGAGACTAGCTAATTTAAAATGCCTTTTTAGGTTGTAATTTATTATTTTGGGAACATTTAGTTACTTGAATAATGTAGTTGTGTGAAACCAATGCACAGGATAGTATGTATAACAAGTCTATTGCCAGTTAATCATAATTTACCGTATTATCAGAATTTTGACAGTGTTTGTACCTTTTAAAAGGGTTGTTCTTTTGCACGTTTGACCTAGTCTAGATGATTTTTGCCAAAAACAGTGAATTATTACAATTATAATTTCAAGGGTTTATACCTAGTTTAAAGGGATATTCACCCCAAAAATAAAATTCAGTAATCCTCAAATTGTTCCAAACTTGAATGTTTCTCTGTGATCTTTTGAACTCATACGATTTTTTTGAAGAATGTTTGAAACTAAACAGTTGATTGGCCCCAGTGACTTCCATAGATGGGAAAACATACTATGGAAGTCAATGGAACCATCAACTGTTTGGTTTCAAACATTCTTAAAATATCTTTTGTGTTCAGCAAAAGAAACTCGTGCAGGTTTGGAACAACTTGAGGGTGATTTTTGGGTGAATTATCCCTTTAATGGCCAGCACATTATTTCACACTACAGAACCATTATGAATGGGTTTTCAGTTCTTGAATAAACCTAAAACAATTGGTGTCATGTCATTTGTGTAATGGTGTTTCTTTAGGGCTAAATTTCAACCACAAGATATTCAACACGTGATTGGGTCTGGTTTGTACAGAACAGCACGAGCTCATGCCATCCAGTAGAGAAACATTTTGTGAAGGTTTATTCATCAAAAATGCAACTGCAACAAGTATGTATCAAAAGGTTATACGGCAAAGCCTTTACAAAATGGCTTGACACAGGTCGTCTCCCCAAAATGGCTGTTACAACAAACTGTAAACAGTTTTTTTTCTTAAATCAACAGTCTTACAGCACTTACAACAAAAATACAAATCACCTAAAATAAAGCACCTCTTCTCTTTCCGAATATAAAGAGAAGCACAAAACTGTCCATTCTGTACAGAATCCAAAACCATACACAAAAATGGAATGTTCAATGTTAAAAATCCAATTAAACCAACTCTCCTCCGTACTGTATATAGATATAAAACAAAAAAAGAAAGTCCACGACGAAAGGCAAAGGGTCAGACAGTGCACTAAATGGACAATGTGATGGGTTTTAAAATGAAAATGACAGCTGGTTTGGTCACTTAGCTTTGTGCATAGTTTTAAGGCATTGTGTAAGCAGTCTTCCGAGGAGACGAGAGTGGCTTTGAGACATTCTGAGAAGGACTTCTTATCTTCCTTTACAAAATACAGAGGAGAAAGAGGCACCTGTACTTCCTTGTTTCTTCCAATAAGCAGGTCAGTGAAACCCTGAGCGAAATCCATGGAGAGTCCGTTCAGCTACATGTCCTGTGACAAGATCCTTCTTCCATGGTCCAAAGGGTTAATCTCTGCCACCTTTCACAAAGTGACGTTCCTTCAACACAGGGGGGGCACTGTCTGAAATACAAGGGAGAGAGATGCAATGGCGCACAAATAGCATTTGTATGGCATCTGATGTGTCACACCGGCGGGGTTGCAGTCTGACAGGTTTTGTTGATCATCAGCAGTAGGTTTCGAACAAAATGTACAAGTGGTTCTTCACATCTGTGCTTAAAAGGCAATAGATCACAGAACTAACATGATTCAGTTAAAAAAACAACATGTGTAAACAGTCTTCAGAGGCAGCAAAACGACTGGGCTCTTCACATTTGTATTTTTGTACACAAGGAGGAAGATTGATTTGCAGAAGCACTGGCACACGCTCTCACACACACACACGCTCGCACGCATTCGGTTTCACACACATTGTCTCTTGGTGCAGTTGTAAAAACCTCTCCTATAAATACTCAAGGTGTTCCAAATGACTTTCAGAGGAATTCATTGTTTCAAAATGGCACTTTAAAGCCATAGGAGGGGGTTCCTTCCTAGCCCACATTCCCTTACAGTCTTTAATCAAAGCATTGGAGCTGAATTAGTAACACCCAAAAGAAAAGGGGAAAAAAAGGTTAAATAAATAAACCACAATAATTAAAAGGAAACAAAAAAAAAAAGCAGCAGTAGCCAAATGAGGTATCTATGTATTGCTCTATGTCAAAAGGGTCAATTTAAAATTAAATAAATTAAATCCACAAACAAACGAAAAAGAAGAAAACGAAATCATCAGTGGTTGGTTGGAGATGGGTGGCGAGCAACACAAATGTGACGCAAGATGTTTGGCTGAGGACAGTAGAGGTGTTCTTCCTGTTGGGGTGTCATGACTCTTGGCTTCCCTGAGATAAGGCTCTGGAACTGGGCTCTTCGGTGGCTCGGGTCGGCTCGGACTCCCCCTCCTCGGAGCTCCCCGACGCCTCGGGCTCCATGGCACTCCAACTGGCCTTGTTCAGGCCCAAATGACCGAGCATGGTCTGAGAGAGCCGCGTGTCTGAAAAACGCGCCCACTCGGCAAACAGAGGCTCCACCACGTATGTCATGAAACCTGGTACCAGAAAAAGAGAATCAGAGACAGAAATCACTTGATCAGCCAGACCTTAGAAATAAATAAATAATAATTATATTATTTTCACACATCAAAATAATAATAATAAAAAAATTATTTATAATTTATATATAAAATATTAGATAGTAAATAAGATAGAAACCCTTAGAATACAGACAGGGATAAAACTGGAAAGTGTAAATGCTAGTTTATGCAGGTTTCTGACTATTTTTAAGAAAATTAGTAATTAAAGTAATTAAAATCTACAGACATAAATATAAATAAATAAATAAATAAATAAAGCTAAATAACCCAACCAACATGCAATTATTTTATTAAAATAAAAATAAAAATTATTTAATAATAATAATAAAAAATTATAATACAATATATGTTAAAATAAGACTTCATTTAATTGTTTTTATTATATTTTGTTAATTTATATTATATTTTTATTTCACTTTATAGAACAGTAAAATTACAATACTAACATTTACGGTTTGATCTTAATTGCTTTACTTGCAAATGTTAAACCATTGAACTTTTATTTTGAGCTATTGTAATTACTATGAATCGAATCTAAAAAATAAACAGTGCAGTGCTTTACTCTGAAACATGCAGTGCGACAGACTACATGTTTATAAAATATGACAACCATTGTGGTTTAATGTTTGCACAAAGCCATTTCACATTCTCACAACTACGCACTGGCAAAACTAATAAAAGTTTCAACACTGTCCCGCAGATGTCCCCCGAGCTCATGCAGTTTATTTAGTAGTGATTTCAATCATCATATAGTGAACACCCCCCCACCTTCAAACCATTTCTTTCTCAGATTTATGCAATTAACATGGGTCATACGTTTCAGGTCGGAAAAGTACAGAAAATAAAATCACATCGCTGCACATTTTATATCATTTTTATTACTATTCTCTTCCTCCCAAATTCAGGGTGAACGCTGAAATCACATAAATGATTGTTCCGGTTCTTACCGATTTGAACACTGGCTATGGTGTTGGCTTCACTGTCACACAGTGGACTGATTTCAAGTTTATGCTTCTTTTCAATGTCACCTAAAGAAGAAGACAATGCCAAAGCACAAAGATTAACTTTTGAACACGGTAAACTAGTAGCAAAAGCAAAGAGTTTGGTCATCGTGAGTGCTGGGTACCTTGGTGGAAAAACTCCTCTGTGACTTTCTCACTCCACTGTTTGCTGAGCTCCCACGGTCTACATGGGTTACAGATATCTGCACACTTCAGGGCCATCTGGAACACATGAACACATGGATTTGTTTTTAAGTGCATTAAAGTGTCTGTCTTTATTTTAAAATATGGTGCGCAGCCCCTTCTACTTAAAACAGGACTCGCAGATTTATCACATCACAACTTCAACAACATCAAGATCAGCATTATAGTAACTAAAACAAACTTTATTCATAAAAAATATTCATTTAAAAATTTTCACAAACAATTTTAATAAAAATGATTGAATGATTTAAAAAGACCTAATATTTAATAGATTATGGTCCCTCAGTCAAATGAAAGAATTTTGATAACACTTTACCATAAGGTCCTACTAATAATGAGTATTTATAAATTTTTGTTTACATAATTAAAAATAAAAAATAATTAATTAATATTAACTCAAATAAATATTTTAGAATAAATTTTCATTATTAGTTCATGTTGACTAATGGATTCAACTAATGTTAACAAAACGCAACCTTTTACAACAAGTTTCCATAGGTTAAGGTTAGTTAGTGCATTAACTAATATTACCTAACAATGAGCAATACATTAGTTACAATACTTATTAATCTTTGTTAACATTAGTAAATAAAAATACAACTGTTTTTGTTAGTTCAGGTTCATTAACCAACGTTAACCGACAGAACATTTGATTTTAATCATGTAATAGTAAATGTTGAGATTAACATTAACTGACAAAAAAAATGCTTTAGAAATATTTTGCATGTAATATATTAAAAAATTAAATCTAGTTACTGTAAAGTGTAACCCATGTATTATTTGCAATAATCAATTAAGCTATTATGATTATACTGTTTTCGGAGAATGCATCTTGATTAGCAATGCATTTAGCTCAATTTAAAGCAAACATCTCAAATGTATTCTAAAAGCCATTTTGGCGCATCATTAGTTTATATATACATTTCTATATACAATTTTATTTATTTTATCGAAATGGATATTGAATATTAAATTCCCACCTGCAGAGAGAAATGCCGATGAGAAGAGTGTCCTAAACACAGGCTGTTCTCATCCAGATGTGTCCTGAACCGGGACAGATACTCATTCTGTCGGCTGATATCTGTGGCCAGAATCAGTGATCCCAGCTGCCTCTCTATACCCAGACTGTTAGAGACCCATTAAAGTCAGTCAATCATAAGAAACAGAAGTCATTTACAAGTCTTAAAGAGACAGCAACAAAAATCACCTTTTATATGAATACTCTAGGGCTCAAACAGAGAATGAAAATTGAAAGTTAAAAAAAAAAGAAAAGAAAAAAAGATGGCTCTTTTGTGGTGTAAGCCCTAGGCTATAAAAGAAATGCGGAGACTGACCTGTCCTCGGCAGGAAGATGGGAAAAGAGTTCGGTCTCTCTGAGCAAACCCACTGCAGACCTCCAGTGATGGTTCTCCAGAACTGAGGTATTCTACAGAGCGACACACACACACACACACACGTCACTGCTGATCGACTTTGAAATGTTTACAAATACAGTAATGTACTTGGAGGTACTTAGACAATCCTCTAAGTACAATGTACTTGTACTTAGAGGATTGTGGAGCTAACGTAATGCTTAAATCCCATTGGATGATGCTCTAACCCGGTACAAAGCTGCAAGGTAATGGTTGGTTTTGATGAGGAAAGGCTGGTTGACTCCAGGGTGGTCCAGATCGTGTGTGGCCGCTGCTAGCAACCCTAAGAGGATGTCGAATGATGTGAGGGACTGGGCGAGCTGTGAATTCAGACACACAGAGACAACCGTAGGTCTGTAAGTACAGTAACGTAACAAGGGAATAATGGTACATTTAGTAAAGGACAATCACCTTGGGTTCTCTCAGGTAACAGTGCATGGCCTGGGTGACATCAGCAGCATGGACTGC